AATTTCTACAAAAACTTGACACAGTTGTTTACCTTGGTACAACATATTCAAAAAATCGGACATCGCATATAACGGTAATTTAGAGAAATACGAAATCTTCGACAAAACTGTAACTTTTGAAGCTAATTTACTCAAAATTTATATGTTTGCAATAATTCTTTAGCAAAAAATACGAGTATAACAAATATTTGGAAAGTGGGCGTGACATCACTTTTATTAATTTGTTATTTTGTAATTTATTGATCAACAAATTTTAAATCTTAACAATGGCCTCGTTTAAAAGAAGAGGCCTAGTTTTGAATTAACGTATGTATGTATGTATGAATGTATGTACATTATGTTGAGCTAATAAGCATGCCGGATACAATCTCGAAATAATTTTTTTTTTTTTTATTTACGTATTGCATGCGCGTAATAGTATTTACTATATACCAAATGCATACTTGGAGCACAATGACTTTGAACAAATGCGCTGAATTGAATTTATTTTTAGACATGCAACGCAGCTAAAAAGACGCTGAAAAATAAGGAAACGAATAAAAATAGAAAAATAATTAAGAGCAAAATATAAAGCTAAGCTGATAATATGTATGTATATGTACTCGTATTACTGAGTTTATTTTTAATCGCAACGAATTTTGAAATTATAGAAAAGCCAGTCAGCGACACAAGGAGCAAAATGATAAGAAGACTAATGCGACTTTAATTTAAATTAAGTTTAATTAAACAAAAATGCAAATCCGGAGTAAAATTTTTATGAAATTTTAAAATTTCGAAAAAAAAAATAATTACGGATAGTCAAAGAAGAATTTGTGCTCAATCGAATTAATAGTCATCGAGTCAATAAAGTTTAGACGACTAGACATATACATTTGATTTTTCATACGATATAATAGCCAATTTCCACCAACGCTAAATTGCAGTTAAGAGTTGACAAGAGGTGATTGGCACGTTTTATTTCTTAATTTTTGTCCTTTTTCTTTCGTTTGCTTATTCTTAATATGAGTAACTGCTTTTACGAATAGGCATAAACTGCAGTTAAGGATTTGTGGAAATAAACTATAAGGATATAAAGCAATGATAGCCAGCTATTTCTTCCAAGAATAAATATCTACAAGAAAAACAAAAACAACAACAATAAAACTTTCTACAGTCGCACTACATGAAAGCGGCGTGGAATTCTCCCGCCGTTGTCTTTATTGGCTGGTTGTCTATATAAATTTCTTATTTTTCTTTAGTATGCAATACTTTATTTAACTGATAGTGTCTACTCGCCCCTATCACTTTGACTTCTACTGATGTAAACAAACAATTGAATTTTTAATTAAAGAAAAAAAAAACATGGCAATTAACCCAGCGAACGAATAAAACTTAGCTTGGCTTGTGTGAGCGTTACTCTGTACTCTGGCAGAGACCAGAGGCAAAAGCAAAGAGTCTTGGCTTCGGCCAAAACAAAATTTTTTTTTCGAAATTTCCTTGCAAAAACACTTTAGACTTAGGGTTGTACGGTTGAGTTTTCTTTGTTTGTTTGCAAGGTGGTACGGTGTAATGCACAGGTAGATATTTAGTTCAGTAGCAAGCTAGTTTTAGTGAGGTTCAAGCGCGACAAGTGTTGTAACGCAGGAACCGTGAACACGTTGCAGTTTTGGTTTAGTTCTGCACGCGAACAAAATGTAATGTAACAAAATAGCCAAACGGGAACAAAAGTATTGAGAGCAGTTTCAACGGGAGCATCGTTGAGATCGTTTACCATTAGGGTGAGCTGTGCTTTTATGGAAAAAATTTTCATTTTCTGTTCAAGAAAATTTCGTGTCTTAAGTCTTTCGTTGACTTTGACTTTGTATAACTATGATGCAGTGCTTTTTTGATTTTTTTTTAATATTCAAATATTTCAAACTAATGTTACGCTATGTGTAAAATTGTGTTCTCGCTTCCTTTCTTCGCGGATAGTTCAGAGAAAATTTGTTCCCGTTTCGTTCTCTGTCAGAAAGTTGCTTTAGTTCCCAAATTGCCCTCCAAGAGAAAGTTCCTTAGACTTTTGTTGCCGGTTTGTTCTTTGCCAAAACGTTCCAGAGACTTTTGTTCCCATTTTTTTTTCTTAGAAATGTTTCCGAAAGTATTGTTCGCATTTTGTGCTCTTTGGAAACGTTCTACAGGGTTTTTTGTTCTTATCTAATTCCCATTGACAACGTTTTTTCTCATTTCGTTTTTGTTGTTGAAGCGTTCTTGAGAACAAAACTACGAGCAAAATCGTAACATTATCCATAGCAATGCGCCCATAAAATACATACATACATATGTATGAAAATAAAAAGGCGTAATTTTTTTCGAAACCCCATAAAAAAATACATAAAATTTCCAGCTGATCGGAATAAGGGAATTGGGGTTTATTTTTGACCTTTCGGCAGGCCGGACAAAACAAAAAACTATTTTAGAGAGCTCTATTTTTGTGGTTTACTGGGTAATTGCGCAATCGTAAGTCGCTCTTCCAACACTAAGTTATTTATTTTGCAAACATTGATTAGTGAATGTCTGCCATATAACAACTTGCACATATGTATGTACGAGTACATACAAACGGTGGCAAGTAATTAATAAGTGTGCGCACAAGTAGCAACAGCTACTCACTTATCAATTGCCCTAAGGAACGCTTTAAAAGTCCCTAAAGCTAATAACAATACAATAAAAATTTGCATAAGCAGCGAAATATGGAGCTGAGTGAATTGTGAATTAAAAAAAAAAAAAAAAATGGTGAAGCAATAAATTCTAGAATATTAAAAAAAAAAACAATTGTATATGAAAAACGAGCTTAATCAGCACAACAAAAAACATACTCGTGTCCGAATGCAATCAGCGATTGTACGCATGTTTGTATGTATGTACATATGTATGGACTCGTAGACATATCATTGTTGAAACACATTTTAATGCTTTTTTTTTTGCGCCACACACAATAAATTCTTGCGGGAATTATACATAAAGTAAAAGGTCATCCATTGGACTCGCAAGAAACAAGTGTAAATTTTGAGATAATTATTGTATTTATTGTGCTTAGGCGCTTTCACACTATTTATTAAGTCATACATACATAAAATAACACAGCAATATTTGAAAAAACGCAGAGCCGCTATCAACAAAGCATATTTCAAAAGTGTCTGCTACTAAATACATAAGTATATATGTTTGTATGTGAGTTTTTTATTGTTTCTTGAACTACCAGCAACACTCCACTCCCCTCTAATGGGACAAAAATCTCAGCATAATATCATTACATAAATTAATTTTTTGTTAAGTGATTTAGATGATGTGATCTGGCGCCTCTGATAAATCGGCAATTGCTAAGAATACATAAACAAATACTTACATAGATACTATGTAACTATGTCTGAATTTACGTACATACATATGTACATGGGGCGTTCCATACCAAAATGGACGGAGTTCACACTTCATGTGTTTGATTTATTTAAAATTTTTAGGGTTGATAGACAAACATAAATAATAAATAAATATGTAATTTTTGAGCTTGATTAATGCATTTTTAAAAACTTTACAGCACAAAAACAAAAACAAATCGATTTTATAGTTTTCCAAATATCTTGAGAACGGAGGGAGTAAAAATTAAAAAAAAAAAATCTCACATACACACATCAAAATTCTCAATAAAAGGAAATATTAAAAAAATACATTTTCTTGAAAATATGCCATCTCAAAAAAAATTTAAAAATATCGCAATGGTAGCTCTGAGCATATATTTAAGTATAGCATTACGGTGTGCACTCTACAATAATTTGAGTTATGCATTTTTTTCTACACCGAAGTTGAGTAAAATGAGTACATTACAAATTTACAAATTTTTTTAATTTTTTTTTAGAATTTATATGAGTATGCAGTTTTATAGCCCATTAAATTTTAGTATCATAATGTGCAAGTTTTAAGCGATTGTAAAACTGACGCTAATTTTTTTTAATTTTCTTTGAAAACGGTTTTGTGCATTTTCTTCCATAAGAAAATAAATGCAAAAAGCCGTCAGCATAAAAAATATTAAAAATCAACGCAATTTTGCAACGACTGCTTGAAACCAGTGTTGCCGTTGAGACTTTTCAGAATGTCGCAAAAAAGAGCATGGTTCTGTTAACATTTCCTAAAAAAAAATCTCCGAAAAGGGGCAAAAGTTGTATATAATTTTGAAAAACGGAAATTTGTCAAGCTAAAGAAATTTAGCAAGTTATCGATATTTATTGAATTATCATTAACGAAATTTATCGAGCTATCCTAATGCATCGAGTTCTTTCAACTTACGGAGTTATCGATAGTTATTGATCTACTGAAATTGGTCGATTGTTGATGCAATTTTCAAAATATATCGATCTATCAAAATTTCAAGGTTATAAAAGTTTATCGAATTATCACTACTTATCAGATTTTATAGAAATATAGTTATAGAAATTTTTCAATAGCATTCGAAAAATATGGAGCTGTTAAAATTAAAAATTTATAAAGGTATCCAAAGGTATATATGTATTTACATTTTTGAGTTATCGAAATTTATCGTGCTCTTGAATTTTACAGTTATCGAAATTAGTCGATTTATCGAATTTTGTTGAGTTATCGGATTTTAGTGTTTTTAAAATTGGTCGAGCTATCGACATGTATCAAATCATTAAATTGATGGATAAACTGGAATGTATCGGGTCAATTCCAAGTCCTGCCCAAGTCCTCCAAATACCTTCAAGGATATAAAAAATTGTAGTCACGTTTTAGTTCCAAAGCAAAAGATTTTCCGTTAAGTTACTTTGTACCTTATAAGTTTAGCTACGTGTTAAGTTAGAAAAACTCACCAAAGACTCTTAAAAACTAGAAAAACGGTCGAATTTCGACAGTAACTGGAAAGTATAATTTTACTATCTCACAAGTCGCTTTAAGGTAATCGTCTACTCATTTTAAAATAATTTCGTTTATGTAATTTGCTATGTTTTAACAAATTTAAATTTACTCACCTGCTTCAATGCTGCATATAGCGAGTAATCGTAGCAACAACAACACTATACATATACTCGCATTACTCAGTCCGCTGCCGTGCCGCCAAGTGGATATGTGTGTTGTTGTTGTTGGTGTTGTGTGTGGAAGTTTCATCTTAATTTCAAATTTGTTGCAATTATTAAACAATTTATATTTATAACTAAGACTATGCACTACGCAAGCAATCGTATCTACTACTTGCTGCTGCGTCACTTTCTCACTTTCTTAGCACAATTATTACTTTGTTTGTGGTTTGCCATGCATACTCGTACAAACAAGCAACGATATATCACATCTTAAAACCACTGAGATCTGTAAATTGAATAGAAATTTCATTTACATACATACATTTTAATTAAATCACTTTCAAATGCTACAACAACAACAATGAAACAATGTTAAACAATATAAAATAATTAAATTTGTATGCATTTCGGTGCGTATAAAAATTAAAAATATTATTTTCGTAGAAACATTTTCTACAAATCAGTTATGCAAGCACTTTTTGTTAGCATTTTTTTTTGGATTTTTAAATATGCAATTATTTTTAATCCATTCTTAAACGAAAGTTGCGCGTTTTTAATCGCTTCGCTCCGTACGTGACCAAGTCATTTTAACGACTACTTACATATGTGTAGTATTTGTTTTCAATCAAATTTTGTGTAAACAACAAACAAGAGCAGCAAAAAAATTTTATAATTTTATCACATAATTGTTTTTATGCTCTCTTCTTTCATTTATGTAGGAGTCCATGTTCGAATGCGCGCGCGTTGATAAAAAAAAAACTCACATACATACATCCATACGTGGTTATGTACATATGTATGCAACAATTGATTAAACATATCGAGTGGAAAGATATGAAAAAAAAAATTGTTGCTTTTGTTGGCGCAAGGATTGTTGTTGTGTTGCTGTTGTTAATGCTTTTCTTCAAACTTAGCGGGTTTATCTGAAAAGAAAAGAAGAGAAACGAAGGGTTTTATTGTATTTATTTGTGTACAAACAATGCTTTATCTATAAGAAATTAAAAGTGTAAAAAAAACATATACATATTTTACTTATCTTTAAATTGTTTACTATACATATTAAAACACTTTTTTCTTGATCTCAAAATTTCTCTGGCTAATTCTCAATTAATGCTGAGTTTGAAACCGAAAATAGCCGAGCACAGTGTCATGTCCTTATATCACTATTGGGTATATTTATGCTTTACGTAAACTAACTTTAGAAAGAAGAATTATACAGGGAATGCGGAACATCGGAGACGATTACGAAGATAAAAACGAATGCGAAGACAAATTTGAAAACAAACACGAAGAGTAGTACGAAGTCGAAGGCAAATTTGAAGACGAACACGAATACAAAAACGATAAAAGGGTCGAATACGAAGACAATTTTAAAGTCGAATACGAGTACTAAATACGAGGACCTCACTTATATAAGAACTTTCGCGTNGGTCGAATACGAAGACAATTTTAAAGTCGAATACGAGTACTAAATACGAGGACCTCACTTATATAAGAACTTTCGCGTTCGTATTCAAATTTGTCTTCGACTTCATGCTACTCTTCGTGTTTTTCTTCAAATGTCTCATCGGATTCATATTTGTATTCTTCTACGTATTTGTTTCCGGGGCTGAGCATTTGTCTTCGTATTCTTTTTGGTACCTACTATTAACCTTCGAAGTAATTTTGGTATTTGTATCTATTCACCTTCGTCACCATGTGTTCGTCTATG